TCTATCTATCTATCTATCTATCTATCTATCTATCTATCTATCTATCTTTTAAACGTATTTTCCGGCAAAAGACGCATCCACTGACAAGTTTCCGGAGCATCTTCTAATACAGACAAAGACATAATAGAGAAAACGAGAAAAACGTGGCTCCAAAGTGAGGGATGCCAGGCGTCTGCTAAATGCATCAGCGCTAACATTCGTTTCCCATATGGCCAGGGGCTGCCGGTTGTGTTTGTGTGCGTCTGTGTGGGCAGATATGACTCCTTTGGTGGAGATCTTGATCTGTTTACACAGTCACACTGCAGGGACTTGTCATCCCTCGAATGTATAAAAAGCCTCCTCACAATGCGGCGAACAGAGATTTTAAAGTGAAAACATATTCCAGAAGTCAGGTTTGAGCACAGCACGGTGGACACAGCAGGACGATTAGAGCAGGAATCAGTTAAATGGGGAGTCGAGACCCCCGAAAATATCAGTCCACAGCTGTGTGTGAATATGCGTGTGTGTATTCATCGCCCTTTTCTGACCTTTTACCGAGTCAGCATTGACATGTCCACATGGGGACCAGAGCTCAGTTTTAATTAAAGGAAATAGCATTTCTGGAGGCCTCGATATGGGGTGGATGTAAAGGAAGAATCTGTTTTAAACTCTGCTAAGGATGGAGAATGAATTGTTAAAGTCAGGGTTGAATTGTGGCTTAATCTCTCCAGAGTGAAAGGAACCAAAGCGATGTGTTTATATGGGAAATACTCTTAAGGAGGAATGGAGAAATACTTGTGGTTACACGCTGTCTTGCTAGTGTGTTTTAGGGTGAGTTCTTTTATGTTAAGTAAGAGTTTATTTATGGCAACCAGCTGAAAAAATGATGTCTCACCTGGACGTAGTGAAATGTTTCACAGCATCACGACAGATTTGTCGCACTGGCATCTAATTGAAATAAAACAATTAAGTGTGCTCTTTTAAGAAAATCCAGGCTTCTCTATTTGTGTGTGTGTGTGCGTGTTTTTTTCCATTTCCATTCATTCAGGTTGACAGATTTATGGAGGCAGGATGCCAGACGGCTTTTAAAATAACTCCGGCGAGCGAGCCTCGCGGGCAAAAAGTTGACGGTGTCCTGATTGACAACCTGATTGATTACATACTGTTTACCGCCCACACACACACACACACACGCAAGCGGACACACAAACAAACACGCGAGCTCACACATTAGAAAGCCTTTATGTCATTTTCTAAAATTCTCCTGTGCCCTTGGCCATACCGTCTCCCTCTTTAAGTCCCCTGCTGGATTAATGAATCATTAAAAGAGAACATTGGTTGTCATGGAAACATCAACCAGGAAGGGAAAACTGGCAGTGTAACTCATCCCCTCAACATTGTGCGGACGATGTCAACATGAATCGTACCTAATACAACTTACAGTGACATATTTCCTGTGATCCTAGGGGATATTTGCCTATTTTTGTTTGTTTCTTTGCATGTGATAGCGTGCCAACCTATTCACCAGAAGATTGACTGATATCACATGTGATCTTTCCGCAGATATGTGGCTAAATTCATCACCCGGTGCGTTTCAGGAGTATCTCTCTCATGAGGCAGCTCTATCTGAAGGGTTCTGTGACAGAAAGTGCACTGGATCAAAGGCAAACTTCCACTTCATGGCCTTTTTATGAGGCTTACCTTGGGATGTCTGCCAGTTTGTTTTCCACTCGACATCACAGGACTCGTCATTTCAGAGAGCATTTCTGCCTCGTCCTATTATTATTGTTTCTGTCCACTTATCTGCTTGCTTTCAAAACAAACCGGTCTGGAGGTTTCAGGGTTTTGAGGCTGGAAAGTTTTGTGCGGCAGCTTCGATGTACACACACACACACACACACACACAGGCGCTTAGTCAAAACCCATTTGGGCTGAGCTGATAAAGCCACGAGGTTCAGAAAAGACTGATACTTGTGTTTCTAGTTATCATATGTGGACAAGCTCAGAATGCACAGAAGAAAGACCTCTTCCTCCTCCCAAGATGTACAAATAAATTATCTTTATCTAAAACAATATAAAGAATCTCTATGTAACGTATAAAGTCATTTGCATTACTTTGAGACTCAGGCATGCCCTGCATCAATACTTTTATATAGTGGAATGCTTTCCTCTCTAATCTAATGCTTTCTCTCTTGTAGGGAGGATTGCCTTTTTTAGTGTTTACATGTTTGAGCCTTTTGACATTTTCCACCTGCGATCAGTGATCTCATCTGCAGGAGTACAGTTAAAAAAATGTTTTAAATGTACAGCAGATGTAGAGAAATCCTTTCAGAATCAAACACATTCAAAATTAAAAGGAAAAACTCTTGTCACAAATAAACATGAGACTGAAAACTGAAAGATGTCTTCACATTCGTGAAGCTGTTGCTGGTAAATTATATTAAGACAAAGGCTCAGGAGTTTAAGAGGGTTTCAGGAATCATGATGCATTTCATGTCATGCAGTTTTTGTAACAAGCTGACACACACTTCCAAATACGAGAAGGTAGCGTGGGCCAACGTGCTATTCTTTCGCGCGCTTCTATTTACGACCACACAGCCCACACGCTCACTTCACATTTCCCATCAGGTCAAAGGAAAAAACACAGCGTTATTGGCAAGATCAAGGAAGCTCAGCTTGTTGTTATTACTGGCATATTTTTTTCCTTTTTTTGACAAATGCGCACAAAGATGTCAAAGATAAAGGAGCCCCGGGCGGTGAGAGGGGAGGACAATGCCATCTGGTGCCCGGTGCTCACGCTGGGCAGCAGAGAGCTCCACACCTGGGATAACGGTAACGCCTGTAATTGTTTGTTGGACCACCAACTGCCCACCCACCTGCCCCCACACAGAAGTCGGTCATTTTTCAATTCAAACCTAAAATTTGATGCTTTCTCGTGTGGGAAAGTTGCTGAGAAATTCTCAGAGATGGGTCAGACTGATGGAAATCCCAATTATATAAGACTAGCACTAATAATTCTCTTTTGGTATTTGTATTCTTACTTTGGTCAAACTTAATTAAACCTATAAAGAATAGCACAAGATTTTTCCAGTGAAATCTAAAACTGCATGCTCATACTAAGTAAATAATTTTTTTATTTATAGATATGAAAATATCTTGTTAACTTCCTGTTGTGATGTGAAGTGGCCCAGTGTCATGATGTAACTTGTAAAAAATATACATATATTTGTCTAGAAGTTTTAATAGCTTACCTTGAATTATTTTTTAAATAAAAAACAAGAGAAACCTTTCTTTGCTGTCCAATTCATTTTGTTTTTCTGCTCTTCAACCTATCAGATCCCTCCCTTCCCCTGACCTTAGTCATATTAATCATCTCTTCTTTTCTAACGTAACTCTTAAAGTATTTTTCGAGCCTGATAGAAAGTCATAGCGAGAAACAATCTAAACACATTCATCCAAGGACGCGTCTTTTCTCAGAGTTTCAAAGCTTCCTGGTCCCAAATCTGTGGGACCAGGAAGCTTTCATCAGAAAAATCAAGCCTTAAGGGCAAACGTGCAACACGAATGCCTAATCTTTTTTTTCTCTTTTCCTTCTGAGAAGGCTTCTGTTTGTCTAGCAGCTATGACATATCACATACCAGAGCATCTTTGACAAAAACAATCCAATATGACCAAAAAATCTGTCCTCGCCGAGCTGAAACAAATGAACAACTCATGAAAAGGAAATCTGAACACATGTTAGCCATCAGTTATCAGGGCCGGGGTCCAGTCACTGACTAATATTTTAAGTCGGTAATCCTCATCTGAACGTTCAAATGAAGTGACCCAAAACCTCTGGGAACCTGTCAATGATCACCTGAAACCATGTGACCCCCACAAACCGTGTTTCACTCATTTTACAGCAGCTGACTCGGGAGAACTCTGAGGGTGGAGGTGAATTTCCACAGGCAGTAAACACAGGCAGTACTCTCACCCAGAGACAGAGCGGGAGGGAGAGAGGAAGAGAGAAAGAGGCAGCGCTCGCAGCATACAGAAAGAGGTAGAGAAAGAGTTGGAGTGGAGGGAGTGAGTGAGGAAAAAGCTGAATGTGACAGCACCGAATGAGAGGAGAGGGAGGAGGGAAGAGGAGGAGGAGGAGGGACAGAGTGGCAGGGAAAAGGGAGGGAGAAACTGAGAAGGGGGATGGACCGGGAGGGGATCGAGAGGAGGGTGTATCAGAGACGGGGAAAGTAGATGAGAGGGAAGTAAAGAGGGAAACCGAGGGGAGTTAAAAGCGCAGGAAAAAAAAATCTGGAGGATAGCACAGTGGCATTCCTCTCACAACTGCAGAGTTCCAGCCTGGGAGGGGAGCCTTAGCTCTCACAGAGAGAGAGAGAGAGGGCTGGGGGAAGAAAAGTTCATTTTTTATTTCACCGTCTTTTTTTATTTTCCTCTGAAGAGCAAAGAGAACAAGTAAATTACGGAATAAGAGATCTTCAACACTTTCCCCCCAAAGTGTCCTGAAGGAGAAGATGGATTCAGACTCCGGCGAGCAAAGTGACGGGGACATCTCCGCAGGTGAGTCTGAACACTCACTTATACTGGTTAAGCTGGTTCTGCCTGTTTCACAGCCCATTCTGAGCATGTTGACCACTTTCTAGACCCCTCGGCAGATAGGAACGCAGCATGATTAAACCCCTTCCGTGCCCCTCCTGTTTAAGATACACAGATCAGAGCCCTGCTGCCCAGAAAAATGAACACTTTTCAATCTCAAGTATTTGACATAGTACCCGGTGCCTCTCTGAGCTGTGTGAGCTGCTGTGTGTGTGAGCTGCTGTGTGTGAGCTGCTGTGTGTGTGAGCTCTGACCGTGGTGACAGGCAGAACCTCGGAGGCAGCGTGGAATAAAGCCGGCTCAGTCGCCACCAGGAACAGGCAAGCTCCGACACGTGTGGCCAGGGGTCTTCATCAACACATCCAGCTCACGCCGGATCTTCCCCCCTTTTTTTTTTACCACGCAACCCATGTTCAAAGAGAAAGAGACAGGGGTATAATGTTTAGATTGAAAGATTCCTTCAATTCCAGGAGATTGTTTCATAAAAAGGGAGAGGGTTTATGGTGTCGGAGCATAGGGCAACTCTTTATTGCAGCGATGAAAGTTAGACTTTAAACAACCCAGACAGACGCACGAATGCTCCCGATAGGCCGACTCTTGTTGAATGTTTCTCAGCCTTCCACACACGGGGGCGGTTTTTATGAGCTGCGAGTCGTTGGAAAATTTCAAGATAGGAGATGAAACAACCTCTTGGTGAAGCACTTGAGTCTGAGGATTTGGAATCAAACTTGCCCGTATAGGAGGTTAATCAAAACGTGGCAAGGCACAGAGCTGTGCTTTTGAATCCTCGTGAAGGGAAACCTTCCTCTTTACTTTTATTTATGCAGATTTATTCATTTTTGTTTGAAAACTGTGTGCTGCCTCTCAGTTTGTTTCAATCAAACAAGTGGGATGACTGTCTCTGGGTATTTCCTTGGGAGACATGCTTTAGGTATTAAATTAACTTCGTGATTTACTGTTTAATGGTGTTGAGGCCTGTGTGGCTTTCTTTGAGATTTGTTAGGCAACAAAGAGCTTTCTGTGTTAATTATGCTTTGATGAACCATCTGCCTGTCCATCTGGACATGTTTCTGTCCGTCGGGCAGTCCATTTGCGAAGGAGGACGGACGGGGATAGTTTATTTACATCATGGGTGATTAGTTATCCGCATCTTTTGATGATATCAAACAGACAAATGAGGATTAAAACACCAACTCCCATGCCAGTATGAATGGTCAATTTTGAGAAAAATTTAGAAGCATTTTTCATTTCTGTCATAGATGCTGTGATCTTACAAAAGAGCCAATACATGTTAAAAAACCTGACAATTACCAGGAATAAAATCTATTAGACTTATCCAAGCTGCTGGAAACACAGTAGCATATGTTGAATAGAGCACAGACGATAGGATTTTTCCCGATCAAGAGCCAGAAAGAGCCGGACTGGTGCCCAGACGGCAGCGCGCCTCGCTGCTGTTGTGCAGTCTGTGCTCCTCTGTAGGCTATCGGGGAATAAAAGCCATGAATCAATTTAACCGAATGTTCAAACATTCAAACTTCAGGAAATCTATTTTTAAAACACATCTTCTTTGGAATCTTGCCATTGATAAATGTTACCTTTGTTCCTAGATAAGACAAATGGGGGAGAATACATGATGAATCTGAGCTTCAGGCTTATATACTCCAAAAAAAGACAAGTCCAGTAATGTAAAGATGTTTTGTTTCAGATGGCCCTGACTTGCCAGCTTTCTCTTGTGACATTTCTCCATTTTCTTTTTTTTGCCACCAATACATTACCCTCATATTTGTGTATATAAGTCATTTATTAGTCCAAGGTTTGCTTTAGCTGTCTGAGCATCTTGTGTCTTGATTGATGACTAACAGAGCAGGAGATCACGCCTGATAACCAGAGGGGAAACTGGTTTGATGAAACATTCACACACTGTAAATAATGGTGGACGGGAATCACATGGGGACGCATGAGTGTGTTGGTCTCAACTGGAAACTGTTATTTGATTCACCAGAAAAAAAAAATTCCTCTGGCCTTTTCTTAATGCTGACATTTCGTTTGTTAATTAATTTCTCCAAAGTTAGCAAACAATGGGCTCAAACATGCTAACTCACTGCATTTTACAAACAGAAATGACAATAGTGTTGGGCCAACTGTTAATTCCTTGAAAGACATTTACCCAGGGAGTAGTACGAATGTCTGCTCCCGGCAGAGCAGCACATCCATTTTCTGAGGGTAATAAGATATGTTATGACCAGGAAACCCAAACCATAATGAATGCTGTACAGGTGTTCTTTCATTTTGGATGATGACAGACAGACTGCTGCTGCAATCCGGCCGGAGTCAGGCTACACCCAGCACGGCTCCCAGCCAGCAAAAAACCACTTCACTCTGGGAGCACAGAGGGGAAAAAAAAAACCTACTTCATTTCCACACCGAAAATCAAACAGAACTGCAAAGAAATCTGTCAGATATTTAATGTTTCGGAACATTTGGTGGAATACTGTAGCAAGCGTTTGCCACAGCAATCAGATTTTCTTTTTCTTTTTTTTTTATAAATTCCAGTCCATGGAAATAAAATGATCGGTATTACGCCCCTCGTTTAGCTGCACACCGGCACACACCACCCACTGGAAATATATGCAGCTGCTTAATGTCAGCTTTTAAAATCATCCACCTCCACCTTTAGCACCACGCATCTATGCTTCAGTTCCAGCTTCTCTCCGATGTAGTGACATTTCCAGCCTGTCCCTTGCTGAGTTGCACCCAGTGCTTCCTTATAGGTCATAAAAAGCCACATTCCTCATGTGGCGTAAATGTACAGCTGCATGCCTCTCAAAAAATAAAAAATAAACAACTCATCAAGAGTCTTAAACTCAAAAAAAGAAGAGATGTGCACATCAAAAGGTTACTAATCCAGAATCAAGCTTTTGCAATGACTATTTCAACCAGTGTTTAAAAAACTATAACAAAAAAAATCTCATTTTTATTTGCAATCGTCCGCTAATGCAGAAATCCTGCCCCAAACCACAAAAGTAGCCACAAACGGATTGGCCCAGCAGCCCTGTCCTTCCTGCCTGTGGTGGACTGGAGATGACCACACCTCACGATGAGTCAGAGCCAGGCCGGTGGTCAACACCTGTTGGAGTTTCACACAGGATAGACATCACATTTCGTTAAATCGCTCAATAGCGCTGAATTCCACTTCAAACCATGGCTTTTCTTTTTATATCAGTCTGGCGTTATGTTGGAGGAGAGAAGTGAATAACCGGCCCACGTCTGACTGATTCATCGCAGTGATGCGACTCTTAACACCGACGCCAATCAGCCATCTGCGGAACTATTTCCAGTGCTTTTATTTTATTTTCTGTCGGTTTTTTCTCCCAGGGAAGCAGAGTTGGTGGTAAAGAGAAGCTGTTGGTCTGTTGTGATAACAGTTGTGAGGTGCGTGGGAGCCCTCGATATGCTTCTGGTGCAAAAACTCGTAGTGAGGGTTGTTAGACAACAACACTAGCTGAAATATAATGCTCAGTCAGGGTGTCTTCCTCTCTCTTTGTTTACACTTTTACACATGTAGAAACTGTGCTCACTTCTCCAGCTCATTCCTCTGTTCTCGCCTCACTCCTCGCACATGCATCCCTGATATTTTTTTTTTCCCCTAGCTGCCTTTAATCTGGCCCACAGATGGAGGCTGCCCTAAAACCAGCCACACACACACACACACACACACATATACACGTTCGCAACACACCAAGAGTCGGTTCTGGAAAATTGTAACAAGAACCGAGGATAAAAGGGAAAAAAGAAGCAAGACCATAAGTGGAAAAGACAACTCAGGAGAAAGTGGTTTTGTCCTATAGCTGCCGCTGGAAAAGACAAGTCCTATAGCTCCAAGAAGACTAGCGGTGAATGCATTTTCCCCCTATGCGCACGTGTAAGCATGCACAGAAGTACGGTGGTATTTCTCTGGGATTGTAGAACATTTGGAAAGAGAATTGTCTCCCTGCGGCTGAGCTATTACTGCAACATGGAATTAGATCATGAAGGCATTTTCACTGGTTTTCTAGTCAGAGGACTCATAGACACGCAGTCAGAAAGCTGTGGTTGAACCGGAGCACCGTTTTGAAGCAAAGCAAACAGTTTCTAGTGGCGCCTGATGTGTGTGGAGAGGTCTTTAGGGAGGTGCAGTTTGTATTGATGGAAGGCTGGATGGGTTTCAGTGGAGCTTTGGGCCTGTAAAGATGCAAAGACGCACATGTGAGCTGTTGAAAAGTGTTAGTTTCTAACACATGTTCAAACTTTACACCATTTCAGAATTATTGACAGGACTTGTTAGTTTTCCTAAGGTTCAGTTTTGGGTGTCAACATTTGGTTGACACAAGATTTCTCCATTAGTGCCAATGAAAATTCAGACGTGGTGGTCAGAAGCCAGGACCATTTGAATTAACCGGACTCAACCCCTCTCAATAGACTGCCCCCTCACAGCATGCAGACGGTATCAAATTAAATCGTTCTCCCTACGCTTGCAGCCTAAGTTTGCTTGACTTTTTCTACTTAATTCTGGGCCAACTGAATTGAACTGTGCTGATTTTAGCATTTCAAGGTTGTGGCGGAGGAAAAAAAATAACATTCAGCGTTATTTCTCACAGCAGTCGGTCCAGCAGTATATCGCATTAAACAGCAATAAAGCTGCTGGTTTAGACATTTTATTGGCAAAAATAACAAGAGTGGGAGACTTGAGTCCCACCCCCCCCCTTCTGCTGGGATTCAGATTAACTAATGGAATAATAATGGTCAGGCTTCTACGAGAGAACATATTCACTGAAGGTCTAAAAAACACATCTACGAATGTGTCTGTGTGAGTTTGTGTGAGTTTGTGTGTGTGTGTGTGTGTGTGTGGGGACCGCAGTTATTTCCTGGTCATTAGTTAGCAGCGGGTTGGCGGCCAAGAGAGAGTAGAAGCACTTTGGTTTTAC